TGTTTATCAATTATTCAAACACCGTTGTTTTGATAATGTCATGAACTTCCTCTCGCCTTACCTAAAGGGTTTTCTATGTTATATCCTGTCATAGATATCATGTTCTGCTTATCCTTGGGAAGGATATACCCCTGAAATATGTGTTTAAACACATTTCCTTTCCATTGTTCTGTTTAACCTGATGATCAAATTTTCCTTCCCATTGGTTTGTTTGACCTTTCTTGTGATCTATATAACCTAAGAAACAATAATTCACTGCTTATGTAAGCACCTCGGTGTACAACTCTATTAGTGAGACCCTGTTTCTACTGTTGATGACATTCCGATAACTGCCGATGGACGAGAACTTTGCCTATTGGCCCGCCTCGTTCAATGAGCAGGAAAATGGTTCTCTTCGTCCCTCGTCCTTGGTACCGATGTTGTTGCCGACGTAACCGACAGACTATCCTCTGACATGCCTTGCTTACATGATCGTGCAAGATGTCATCGCCCTTCCTACTTAACCCACATGGTGGGCCCATAATCCACAGTCCCACAGGATCAAAACCTGACTCTCCTGTACACCCTGTTTCCAAAGTTACTCCTCACTCTTGGTTTCATAGGTAATTCATGCGCCACCTTCCTAGTGATCTATTCTGGTATCAGACACAATACTTATTCTCGTTGCTCTGAACCCCTTTTCACACTCCGTTTCAGGCAACGAGCGATTGCATGCCCGCTCGAAACTTCTCATGCAACCTTCCTACTTTGCTCTCGATATATTATTAAGTTTCAATTTGAGAGATACTTTCCGCCACCTCCCCCGATGTTATCAACCAGATAGACAACCGTGAAGAGGTCCATTCTCCCGGAATACCCCCTTATTCTTTCGTAAGTACGATGGAGTTCCCGAATAAAGGACGACAACTTCATCATGATGCATTGGTGCATAGGTATGAAGAAGTCAACGCTATGGATCAACCTCTTCGAGAAGAGCAACCAAGACCGACAAGATTCGTTAGAATTTCGTAACCAGAACTTTCCCCCTTATCCCACCTCGATTTCTTGTAGTAGAGGAGATTTGTGACGCCCGAATAATTAGGCTACAGTAATCCCACATTAATGATGCCATGTCACCATGATTACTGTTGTTAATCTTGTGCTAGTTCAAAAACAGATTCAAATTCAAATTTGAATTTAAGTCAAACAATAGAAGTTTTCAAATATTAAGACTAAAATGCACTAAGCGTGTCAAATAAATCATAAGTAATTATGTTGGTGAAACCACACTTTTATAAAAGTGTTTAGATGCACTATAGTAAATAAAATAGCAGTAAAACTATTATTTAAATGATATTTAAATATTGAACAATTACAAAACCGTTTTTAGTTTGGGTAGTAAATTAATGTGACAGTGGCATAGCTGGTAACATCAATTTAGGTGCCACTTAATTTGGTATGTTAATGAAACTATTGTAAATAGGAATTCAAAGAAACAGAAAAGAAATAAGATAAGGAAAAGAAAAGTAAAAACAAACAAACAAAGGAAACAAAAAAAGTGTAGGACCCCCTGGCCTCTGGTCGCAGCCACCGCGCCTCCCCGCTCTAACCCTGGCCGCGCCCGCTCGCTCCGGCCCACCCCTGCTTCCCCCGCTTTGCTCTGCCTCCTGCCGCGGCCAAGCCACCCGCTAGCTCCCGCCACCTCCTGGCCGCATCCCGCCATGCTCCCCTGCCGCACCCCGACCTTGCACGCCGCGTCCGTCCTCCCGCGGTGCTTACTGCTGCTGCCGCCCGACCTCCGCGCCAGCAGTCGCCCTCCTTGCCGCAGCACACACCGCGCCGATCACGCCCGTGCCTCACCCACACCCTGTGCCTCCCCACACGCCGCCGCTCGCGGCTCCACCGGCGTCCGCCATCGCGCTGCACTGACCTGCCCACGCGGCTGCCTCCGCTCATCCCCCACGCGCGTCGCTCTGCACCTCCGCAGTTGCTCGGCGGTCGCCGTTTCGGCCGCCTGGCCGGCGCCGTGGCCATCAGCCTCCCTGCTCCGGCACCTTGCCGGATCCGCCCCCCTCGGGTGACGCCACGCCCGGGCAGCGCCCGCATCTGCTACGGTCCCCATATCCCGCCTGTCCACGTGCCCGCTAAGGCCCCCTGGGCCATTGACATGTGGGGCCCACCCCTATGAAATGTTTTTAAAAAGGAAATAAATAAATAAATAAAATTAATTAATTAATTAATTTAATTAACACTGATTAATTAACCTAATCACCTAATTATTCAAATTAAATCTGTTTAGATAATCATAGCCACTGACAGTGGGACCCACTCATCAGTTTAACCAGGTCAACAGATGGTTGACCGCTGACATCATCTTGACATCATGCTGACATCATAATTTCAATTTTCTAATTAAATTAATTCTGTTAATTCAAAAAAAATTAAATCTTTACAAATTAATATAAAATAATCCGTAGCTCGGCTGAAAATACTTTGTACATGAAAGTTGCTCAGAACAACGAGACGAATCCATATACGCAGCCCATTCATCCGCCACACATACCTAGCATAGCGAACACATAACTTTGCCCCTCCGGTTCATCTGTCCGAAAATGCGAAACACCGGGAATACTTTCCCGGATGTTTTCCCCCTTCGCCGGTATCACCTCCTACTGCGTTAGGGCACACCTAGCACCGCTCATTGTCATGTCATGTATCGTCATGCTTATGTTTGCATTATATTTATTGTTTCTTCCCCCTCTTCTCTCTGGTAGACTATGACACCGACGCCACTGCTACCCAGTACGACTATGGTGTTGGCGACCCCTCCTTCTCGGCTAAGCTTCCGGGCAAGCCCCCCTTTGATCACCAGATATCACCTATTCCTTCTCTCTACTGCTTGCATTAGAGTAGTGTAGCATGTTACTGCTTTCGGTTAATCCTATTCTGTTGCATAGCCTGTCATTGTTGCTATAGTTGTTACCCTTACCTGCAATCCTAAATGCGTAGTATAGGATGCTAGTGTTCCATCAGTGGCCCTACACTCTTGTCCGTCTGCCATGCTATACTACTGGGCCGTGATCACTTCGGGAGGTGATCACGGGCATATGCTATATACTATATACAGTTACATTACTTATGATACTGTTCGGAGATGGGGGCTGAAGGGACAGGTGGCTCCATCCCGGTAGAGGTGGGCCTGGGTTCCCGACGGCCCCCGACTGTTACTTTGTGGCGGAGCGACAGGGCAGGTTGAGTCCACATAGGAGAGAGGTGGGCCTGGCCCTGGTCGGCGTCCGCGGTTACTTCATAATAACACGCTAAACGAGATCTTGGTATTTTATCTGAGTTGGGTCGTTGACCTTATGCGCACTAACCGCCATGTGGGACAAGATATGGGCAACCAACGTCGTGGTATCAGCCGAAGCCTTCGTGACGTCAACGACTGAGCGGCGCGTGCCGGATTGGACTAGAACGCCTGCTCTTGTATTAGGGAGGCTAGGTCTACTTCCGGCCGCCCACACAACGTGCAGGTGTGCAATGGGTGATGGGCCCAGACCCCTGCGCACATAGTATTTAGACCGACGTGCTGACCTCTCTGTTGTGCCTAGGTGGGGCTGCGACGTGTTGATCTTCCGTGGTCGGGCATGACCCAGGAAAGTGTGTCCGTCCAAAGGGGATCGAACGTGTTGGGTAATGTGGTGCACCCCTGCAGGGAAGTTTATCTATTCGAATAGCCGTGATCTTCAATAACAGGACGACTTGGAGTTGTACCTTGACCTTATGACAACTAGAACCAGATACTTAATAAAACACACCCTTCCAAGTGCCAGATACAACCCGGTGATCGCTCTCACACAGGGCGACGAGGGGAGGATCGCCGGGTAGGCTTATGCTATGCGATGCTACTTGGTGAACTTACCATCTACTCTCTTCTACATGCTACAAGATGGAGGCTGCCAGAAGCGTAGTCTTCGACAGGACTAGCTACCCCCCTCTTATTCTGGCATTCTGCAGTTTACTCCACCGGTATTGCCCTTTTACACTGATACCCATGGATATGTAGTGTAGATCCTTACTTGCGAGTACTTTGGATGAGTACTCACGGTTGCTTTTCTCCCTCTTTCCTCCCTTTCCTTTCTTCTCGGTTTTCTCAACCAGATGCTGGAGCCCAGGAGTCAGACGCCACCGTTGACGATGACTCCTACTACACCGAGGGTGCCTACTACTACGTGCAGGCCGCTGACGACGACTAGGAGTAGTTTAGGAGGATCCCAGGCAGGAGGCCTGCGCCTCTTTCGATCTGTATCCCAGTTTGTGCTATCCTTCTTAAGGCAAACTTGTTTAACTTATGTCTGTAGTCAGATATTGTTGCTTCCGCTGACTCGTCTATGATCGAGCACTTGTATTCGAGCCCTCGAGGCCCCTGCCTTGTATTATGATGCTTGTATGACTTATTTATGTTTTTAGAATTGTGTTGTGATATCTTCCCGTGAGTCCCTGATCTTGATCGTACACGTTTGCGTGCATGATTAATGTACGATTGAATCAGGGACGTCACAACTTTTATGTTTTTTGTTGCTATGTGTATATATTCATGGCATGCATGCGACAAACAAATGCTCTGCTGATGCCGGTGGCTGACGGAAAATCGGCCACGGTCGTGACCAAGCTTGACTGTGCATGCATAAGGGGCTCTCTATGCCCCGGGGCCTGCGAGCGACATAGACGGAGTACCGCCAGACCATCCATAAATAGGGTACGACACCACACCCACCATCCATCTATTATAGAGCCATAAACAACATTTGATCAACACTCGATTACACAAGAATCAATCAACCAACCAAGCGGCGATGGCTTCATCGAGCAGGATGCTAGTAGCGGCGGTGGTGGCAGCCCTGGTGGCCGTGGCGTGGTGCGCGCCGCCACCGGTGTGCTTCATGTTGGAGAAGGGGTCGGACCCGAAGCATTTGGTGCTGCAGATCAAGTACGACAAGGATGGCGACAGCATGAAGGAGGTGGAGCTGAAGCAGAAGGAGGACTGGCTGCCCCTGAAAAAGGGCTACAGCGGCGCGTGGGAGATCAAGAGAGACAAGCCCCTCGAGGGCCCCTACAGCTTCCGCTATGAGACCCAGAAGGGCCAGCGCAACGTCTTCGACGATGTTGTCCCCATAGATTTCAAGATCGGCACCACCTACAAGCCAGAGGCGACCTACTGAGATTCACCCATGCATTTTGTTCCACCATTATCGACCTCACAGCTAAAATCGTGCCATAAGGCGCATGGATACTAATAAGTAAAATAATATTACCTTCATCCTAAATTAATTGTCTAATTCAGGACGAAGGGAGTAGTAGGAGAAGCAACGACTGGTGGTCAGATGTATTTACTCTCCCGTGCACCCGTTGTCTCCATTGACCATTTCTTTTTTTCTTTGTACCGAATCTATTCAATATCATTTGCAATATACTTGAAATCAAGATTTCATTTCTATATAATCTCTAAGTTTGCTAGTAATATTATTTGTTATGTAGTAGGATTACGTTCTACCCCATGAACGCCTCGGTGCTCGTTGACAACGACCATATGTAACCATGCAAAAAAAGAGAAGAATGCAATAACCATATGTAGTCCCTTTGTCTTGATAACTTGCCCTTGCATGATAGGCACCCTATTTTTAACGTCCCCTCCCCAGATATGCGGTGATCACAAGGAGCTCTCACTCTCCCATGTAGTCACTGGTGATATGAATGGAGACCAGTGTAAGGCGTATTCCAATGAGAAGATTAGAGAAGGGGCCATGAAGACGCTAGGGCCAAATGTTTGCTCGACGCTTTTCTAATAGACCCATCGAAAATGTTTTTAAAGTGGGAATTTGTGCGGTTGCTAGCAGTTTCTTTGAAGGAGATATGATTTTGGAGGGGTTGTTCGACTGGCGAACCACCGTAAACAATAAAGAAAAACACACATGTATGCACACATTCACTCCGGTGGTGCGGAATCCCAATGGGATTTTGCCTATATGGAGATTGAAGGAAATATGCCCTAGAGACAATAATAAAGTTATTATTTATTTCCTTATATCATGATAAATGTTTATTATTCATGCTAGGATTGTATTAACCGAAAACTTAGTACATATGTGAATACATAGAAAAACAGAATGTCACTAGTATGCCTCTACTTGACTAGCCCGTTGGTCAAAGATGGTTATGTTTCCTAACCATAGACATGAGTTGTCATTTGATAAATGGGATCACATCATTAGGAGAATGATGTGATTGACTTGACCCATTCCGTTAGCTTAGCACTTGGTCGTTTTAGTTTACTGCTATTGCTTTCTTCATGACTTATACATGTTACTATGACTATGAGATTATGCAACTCCCGATTACCGGAGTAACACTTTGTGTGCTACCAAACGTCACAACGTAACTGGGTGATTATAAAGGTGCTCTGTAGGTGTCTCCGATGGTACTTGTTGAGTTGGCATAGATCGAGATTAGGATTTGTCACCCCGATTGTCGGAGAGGTATCTCTGGGCCCTCTCGGTAATGCACATCACTATAAGCCTTGCAAGCAATGCAACTAATGAGTTAGTTGCGGAATGATGTATTAAGGAACGAGTAAAGAGACTTGCCGGTAACGAGATTGAGCTAGGTATTGAGATACCGACGATCGAATCTCGGGCAAAGAACATATCGATGACAAAGGGAACAACGTATGTTGTTATGCGGTTTGACCGATAAAGATCTTTGTAGAATATGTAGGAGCCAATATGAGCATTCAGGTTCCGCTATTGGTTATTGACCGGAGACGTGTCTCGGTCATGTCTACACAGTTCTCGAACCTATAGGGTCCGCACGCTTAACGTTCGGTGATGCTCGGTAATATGAGTTTATGTGTTTTGATGTACCGAAGGTAGTTCGGAGTCCCGGATGAGATCGGGGACATGACGAGAAGTCTCGAAATGATTGAGACGTAAAGATCGATATATTGGACGACTATATTCGGACATCGGGAAGGTTCCGAGTGATTCGGGTATTTTTCGGAGTACCGGGGAGTTACGGGAATTCGCCGGGGAGTATATGGGCCTTATTGGGCTTTAGGGGAAAGAGAGAGGGGAGGCTGCATGCCCCCCAAGGCTTAGTCCGAGTTGGACTAGGAGGAGGGGCTGCGCCCCCTCCTCGCTTCTCTTCTCTTTTCCCTTTCATTCTCTCCTAGTCCTACTACGTGGAAGGGGGAGAATCCTACTCCTGGTCGGAGTAGGACTCCCCGGGGGGTGCCATAGTAGAGGGCCGACCCTCCCCCTCCTCCACTCCTTTATATACGGGGGGAGGGGGGGCAGGGGGTACCCTAGAACACACAAGTTGATTGTTTCAAGCCGTATGCGGTAGCAACATCATCACCGTCATCACGTCGTCGTGCTGACGAAACTCTCCCATGAAGCTCTGCTGGATCGGAGTTCGTGGGACGTCATCGAGCTGAACGTGTGCTGAACTTGGAGGTGCCGTACATTCGGTACTTGGATCGGTCGGATCGTGAAGACGTTCGACTACATCAACTGCGTTCTCATAACGCTTCCGCTTACAATCTACGAGGTTACGTGGACGATACTCTTCCCTCTCGTTGCTATCACTACAAAAAAAGACACATCCGTGACATTTTGGGCCGAACGGAATTTTTTTTCTGTCATACATATGACACTTCTATGACGATAATTGTGACAAAACCCGTATCATCATAGATGTGGTGGGCTCCTACTTCTATGACAAAAAATCATGACAGAAAATGGGCTTTTCGTCCTGGGCGGGCCGGAGACGCAGCTGCATGACATTCTTTGGGCCGTCCATGACGGAAAAAACCATGGTAGAAGCGAGGGGGAGGAAAATTTCGGGGAGTTCCCGGTTACGATGGGAGGTCGGGGGCCGAGCGATGCGCGTTTCTATCGTACACGTACGCGCGTGTGTGCGAGGCGTTGGCTCTAACTGAACCTGAGCGAGGCGTTGGGCTCTAACTGAACCCGAGCGATTGCACTGCAGGCTACGCGTTACTGAACCCGAGCGATCGATCAATGGCTGTTAACTGAACCCGATCGAGCGATTTTTTTGCTACTGCTGCTAACTAAAGCCGATCGATGCTGCCTCTGGGATGAACAGTAAGCGTTGCGGGGGGCGGGGGGTTTGGATGAACAGTGAGCGGTGGCGTTGCCTCTGGATGAATAGGACCCCATGGTGTGGTGGAGGGCTGGATGAACAGTAGACGGTGGAGGGGTGCCCGTGAAGGGGTGGTTGAACAGGACCCCATGGTGTGGAGGGCTGGAGGAACAGTAGACGGTGGAGGGGTGCCCGTGGAGGGGTGGTTGAACAGTAGCCGGTGGAGTAGCGCGCGGTGGAGGCTAGATGAACAGGAGCCCTTGGAGTCTGGAGGAGGTCGACGGTAGCCCGTGGAGGTTGGAGGAGGTCGACGGTGGAGATGAACAGTATCCCGTGGAGTCCCGTTTTGCGGTACGCCACACCCCTCCCGATGAACAGGACCCCCATTTCAACCGTAGCGCTCCAACACAAGTCCGTTTCGTCCGTTTTGCGGTACGCCACACCCCTCCCGATCAACAGGACCCCCGTTTCGACCGTAGGAGGTCTGTTTCCTCCGTTTTGCGGTATGCCAGACCCCTCCTGATCAACAGGACCCCGTTTCGAATGTAGGAGGTCCGTTTCCTCCGTTGTGCGGTACATCAGGCCTCGTTTCTATCGCCTGTTCCGTCCAAGCCCTCCCGATGAACATGACCACACATTCCGTTCCGACCCAGCCGGTTGGCTCCCACACATTCCGTTGCCTCTCGATGAACACGATGCATTCCGTTGCCTCCCCATGAACACAACGCATTCCGTTGCCTCCCCATGAACATGGCGAGACACTGTTTGTCCGTTCCGATCCAGCCATGTACGCGAGCCCTAGCCGTACATATGCGCGAGTAGGCGTTCGAGACCCCGTCCGTATGTACACATACGTGGCCGTATTTTCTCTCTTGCACCCTGGCCGCTGTACATACATGTACATGCTACGTGCGCGTCTCTACTACGACACGTACGCGCCTCTACTACGACACGTGCGCGCCTCTACATCCACCAGTATATATGTACGTACACGTTCACGACCAGAATGACAACGCTACATACGCTTCAACCAGGTGAGTCCCGACTGTCAGACACTTCCTTGCCTGCGAAGATGTAGCTAGTGGGTCCCAGCAGTCAGGGGGCGAATTGTTTTTTTGCCCGGACGCACTTCCTTGCGTGCGAAGATATAGCTGGTGGGTCCCAGCAGTCAGGGGGAAATGTTTTTTTCACGAAATACAGTGGCCCGTCCGGTGGGTCCCAGCTGTCAGGTGGAGGAATCATTATTTTCCGTGTAATAAGGAGGCACTTCCTTGCTGCAACCGTGGACCCAGTTGTCAGCCTCTCCACGTACAGTCCATGTCCGATGGAAGTCATTCCTTGACCACATTGACCACGTCGCGCCGAGAGCACCAGGGCGGTGGACGACGGCAAGGCCTAGGAAGGGGACAACGGGGAGCCGGGGAAGACGCGGCAGTGGAAGCCTGCGCGGAGAGGAGTACGAGGGTTCACTGGTTCGGCTGCGGTGTGAGGCTGTCATCGCCGCAGGGCCTGGCCAGCGGTGGGAATAGTAGGGGGCGGTGAGGCCTCCGTGGCAGCACGTCCGGCCACGGGAGGCAGGAGCATGCGGCACGACCGGCGCTGCTTTGGGCGGCTAGAGCAAGAAGACCAGAGGTTGAAGAAGCACTATGGCCGTTGGATGGACATCGTACGGTCACTGGAGCTAGAATCGTTTATATTGACTAAGTTGAGAAAGTCCTCCGCCTCCGTCAACTTACTAGGCCCACAAGTCAGCCTCCCACCAAGGTGGGTCCCAGGTAGCAGGGGGTATTCATTTTTTTGTGCGTAATAAGGAGGCACTTCCGGTGGGTCCGAGCTGACAGCAGGGGGAACGTTTTTTTTTTGCAAAATACAGTGGCCCACGGGTGGGTCCCAGCAGTCAGGGGCAAACATTTTTTTCGCGAAATACTGGTGGGCGTCCGGTGGGTCCCTACTGTCAGGTGGAGGAATAATTATTTTCCGCGTAATAAGGAGGCACTTCCTTGCGGCTGCCATGGACCCAGCTGTCAGCCTCTCCACGTACAGTATTCTTCCGATGGAATTC